CAGAAAGCTTCAATTCTTGGAGAGAAAGGGGAAAACTATCTGGCCTCACATCACATACATACCTAAGCTCTTTCCAAAGACATTTGTAATTCCCTTGGCACAAGAAATAAGAACAAACAAAAGACTCTCTATGGAAACCACCAAGCTCACACCAGGAAGATGGGTCACAGCCTCAGCTAGCGCTGGGCTTGGGAGTTGGGTACATATTTGATCAGAGAAATGTATAGTTAGGTTATCTATACTACAAAAACTAATAAAATCAAAAGGTTTGCTCCAGGTTCCACACAGGTACAGCAGAAGCGATTTCAGGATTAGGGCTGTATACTGTAAGCCCTTCCAGGCAGGGACCATGGCTCCTTATTTGCATTATGAGGTGCCCAATACACTTTTGAGTGCTATAAAGTAACCAGCTCTGCAATCTGAAGGCCACTTGACTGTAACTGTCCATTAGCTGAAGCGCTATAACAGGAGTTCTCAAACTGGGGGTTGTGACCCCCTCAGGGGGTCACAAAGTTATTACATGGGGAGGGAGGTCATGAACTGTCAGCCTTCACCCCCAAAATCCTGTTTTGCCTCCTGCATTTATAATAGTGTTAAATATTTTTAAAATGTGTTTTTAATTTAAGGGTGGTCGTATTCAGACTTGCTGTGCAAAAGGGGTCACCAATACAAAAGTTTGAGAACCACTGCGCTAGAACACCAGTATTCTTATTCCAAAAGCTCCTCTCCCTATGCCAGACCCCTCTCGGGTGCAGTGGCAGGTCCGGTTTGCATTGGGCCAGGATTGCTCCTTGCACATCCCCAGCCAGAGGAAAAACCGCATACGAGGAATTAAAAAGAAAAACTAAAAGTTTGTTGGCAAAACATCACTCACATGTGCCAGCACCCAGGTCCCTGCATGCACAAACAAACCAAAGGGGATGAATAAGAATACAAAGGGGGTTCCTTACCTGCCTGAACTTCCAGCCGTCACAGTGCTGGGGACACCTGTATTTAGGGCTATTTTCCCAGCATCTATTTTTGGGGGGGGGGGGGGTGAAGAGGAGGGGGGTGCTTGAGAGAAAAAGGCAACTGAAGACTCCAGGCCTTAGAAGGATGCTCCAGCAGCAGAGAGGAGCTTGGGACCCTGTTACAGCCCCTCTCTCCTGGGGACTAACCCTGAGCTCCCCCTACACTAGAGAAAGGGGGGCTGCAAAGCCGTTGGTAGGATGGTGACCCTCCCCTAGGTGACTCGGGAATTCAGGGTCCCCAGGGGTGATTTTAAAACATGGGAGTTTAAAAAAATTTCTGGAGGAATCAGGGGCTGGACACAGCCTGCTACCCCCAGCAGGAGCTATAGGGCCAGGGTCCCTCCACCTCCCCCCCCCCCCCCCCCGGGGGCCAGGGGGCCGGGCCCCCCCCGCCCCCCCCCCCCCCAGCGGGGGCGAGGGGGCCGGGGTCCTCCTCCTCC